GAGTGAATCTTACGTATGGGGATTATGTTATTAGTTAAGGTCTTATAGCAAATCATTTAGTGCAGGAAGTAATGGGAAAACATAAGATTAAGTGAACAAAAGATATCTATTTAGTTTTGGTATGGTAAGTTTACGTCGGAGACAAAATTCTTATAAGAGGGGAATAGTTGTGAGACCCGAACATGCTAATTTGACATTTTAATATAGGAATATAAATATTAAATTATATTTTGGAAGTTAATTTTAATTTGACAAAATAAAAGGAGATAGTGAATAGATCTTAATAAAAATTTTGAGTTTAATTTGAGAAGTTAAGAGTGAGTGGGATAAATACAAACAAGAATATATATATACACACACACAAGTTAGTGGTTGCACCACTAACTTGCATGTGAGATTGCATGCAAGTTAGTGGGCTCTTTACTAACTTAGCTTGGATGATGATGATTTAGAGGGGGACGAGGGGGGGGGGCAGCTCAGATGGAGAGGAGGGAGGTATAGTGGACTCTCCACAAGGGGATTTGCTATACTAGTCATATATAATAGAACACTTTGAAGATTTTAGAGGAAAGGGAGAGAAGACCATCAACTAGGAGAAGGGAGAAAGGAAAAGAAGAAAGGAAGAGAAGGTGAAATTGTGGGTTGATACTCATCCCCATTTAAGGTTCAGGAACGTCTACGTCTAAGAACAATCCGTTGAAAGGACTAGTGGAAGGATCGACTCTAAGGAAGAGTTTAGCAGCCGAGGTAAGGGTTTAAAGTTTAACCTTACATTTGTTATATTATATGTTCATCAATAACTTTCTTAACGACTTGGAACTTAATTGAGTTTGTGTGGCATAATTGCCTGTGTGATGTATTTGTCTGTGTGGCGTGGAAATTAGTCTATGTAGCGTATTTGCCTCTATGGCGTGGAATTAGCCTATGTGGTGTATCTGCCTATGTGGCGGGAATTGGCTTGTGCAGCGGACATAAATAATGTTGGTATAGTGCAGTGGTGTTTAAGTGATGTATATGTTGTGAAAGCATATATTTATTTATATGAGAATATAATTGTTAAGGCATAACTATAAAAGTCTCTCTTAACTTATTTTTTGAGTTTTACATGTGTTTTTCTTCCTAACACATTCATGTATTGACTGAAAAATTTCTTGACATTTTTTAGGAGCAAAACGTGACGCGAGGTGTCTACTATCGAATTCGTAGGATTGTTTAGGGTTGTCGTTATCGCTAAGGGGTCTTCATGTCTTTTGAATGTAAATGTAATATTATAAATATTGGATTTGCTATGAAATATGTTATATGTATCAAGTAAGGACTCGTGAAGAGTCGACCACTTGTAGATGTTATGTTTATTTCCATACAAGGAATTTAAATAGCCTATACACTGAGTACTGTGTTGCTTATTCATTGGTTGTGTTCCTTCCAGAATCGTTAGAGTTAAACTTTGCTCCAGGTTGGGATATTATAGTGTAAACAAGAAACAGGGTTTTGTCTTTAAGTTTGGGTTTTCTGTTTATATTTATCCATTTGTGATAGGTGTTTGTACCCTTGAGTTGGTGTGTTACATCATCTGCCCTAATTTTCTTTGCTTGAGATTGTCGTTGGTTAGAAGATCATTTAAATAAAACCTCCAAGTGAAATTTTTTACTTTACTCGGGATTCTTTGATTCCACAGAAAGCTCTAATTCTCCTTCGCCATGTTGCTTGAAGCCGATAACTGTTCAGTGGTTGCCAGGTTTTGCTTGACTACTACATAGTAGTCACTTTGCACTGTAAATCTCTCATTTTTTTTTTGTAGTGCCAAATCAGTTTGTCTTCCTCCATGGGATCAATCAAACAAATGTTCTTGATGGTTGCAGATTCATGAAGAAAGAAAATGACATAAAGAAGCTGCTTATCCCACTGGTTTGTCCTTGCTTCGATCAGTTCGCTAACTATGGTGTCCACACTTAGAATGTTTGGAGGTGTTACAGGGCATAAAGGTGTTTGGAATATGGATCCATCTATCTTGCCATATCTTCCCCCTGGCTCCATTTCCAATTTTTCACCTTGACCCTGCTTCAATTATTTTCTGTGAAACTAAGATACTTTGCCAAGTATAAGACGATCGGCTGCCAAGGTTAGCTTCCATAAAATTTGATGAAGGAAAATATTTGGCTTTAAGCACCTCATGGAGGAGGGCATGTGTTTGTTGAAGGACTCTCCATGCTTGCTTTGCTAAAAGGGCTAAGTGTAAGGGTCTAAGATCTCGGAACCCCATGTCGTATGTTGATTTACTCTAGCACATCTTTGACCAGTTTACACAATACATTTTCTTCTCTCCATTTTTCTACCTCCACCAAAAATTTGATATCAAATATTCTAGCTCAACACACAAAAACTTTGGAAGTTTAAAGCAACCCGTCACATATGTTGGTATAGCTTGAGTGACTACTTTAATTAAAATTCCTTACTGTCTAGTGATAAAAATTTGTTCCTTCCATCCTTGCATTTTTCTCCGCATTCTCTCCCTTATTCTGTTGAAGACTTCTTTTTTGAATTTACCCAAAATAATTGACAAGGCAAAATATTTATTATGTGCTTGGACAAGTTGCACACCCAAAATTGCTTGTAGTTCTGCCGCATTCTCGATAGAGACATTTTTGCTACATATCATCATAGACTTTTCCATATTAATTTTCTGCCTCGATGCCAACTCATAAGTCCTCAAAAATTTCTAAACCTTGTTGTTTCGAATCTGAAAGAATTTAAGAATGATAGACTGTCACCAGCGAAGAACAAATGCGAAATTTTTGAGCATCCCCTTCCAACCGACAACCAAGTGATAAGCCAATATCACTTAGCAGCAAGGCACATAGTCAGGATTTTTGTTTATTTGGGACTAAGTTAAGCATTCACACGACTAACAAAATGCAAATGTAAACTCATAAATATATATACAATAATACAAATGTAAACTCGTAAATACTTACTAATGAAATTGGACTTTTCGATCCTTCCTAAAATAAAAGACATCTATTATTGAATCTGTATCGATTGCTTCCGTTATTTCTCTTTTAATGTAGACAACTAATGAATCAGTCAAATACTCATCTTCCATCTTATTATGAAGAGTACTTTTAACATATTTCATGACTAAAAATGCTTTTTCTGAAGTTGCTGTGGAAACGAGAAGAGTTGTTGGACTCTGTCTTATTTGTTTCTACTGAACCACGACATAATTCTAAAATTGTAGACATACTTTGAAACCTCTCATGGCGAACTACATCAAATCGATAATGATCCAGTTGACATTTCAAATGATGCATGTCTTGTCAGTCAAAATCAGTTGCATAAAACTTCTCAGTAAGTAAATAAATGCGATCAGGATTGAAATATTTAAAGTTGTCCTGAGGATCTAAAGCAGAGCTGAGCATAAACAATTTCATTGTCTCTTCATTGAATCTACTATGTAACTTTTCATTGGGGCTTAAGCCTTAAGGACTTTGAAAAATTGGACTAATGATTAGTGATTTATTTTATCACTAAAACATTACGTAACAAAGAAATATTAATTTTTTTTTGGATAAGTTGAAAAGAGCAATTTTAAGATGTACCTGATGGTGATTAGTTTGGTAAGTTTGCGGTAGCAACCATTGATACTGGCTCCAGATTAGCCCAGAAGTGACCACTAAGCCCAATACCAATGAGACAGATCATTGTTATATATTGGGCCTGGTATCTGGATGGCTTAGCCTTTCATTTTGTTGATCTTAGATTGGCTTGTCCAAGGTAAAACAAAAACTGGTCTAATACCATGGTGCATGCTGGGCTAATGATTGCAAAACGTATGAAATTGAAAATTGTTTTTTTTACTCTGAGTTTCAGCCCATCGGAGCCCACTAACAGCTCTGTCCTTTCTTAGCAGCTCTTAACAAAGTCGACATCCCTTCTGCACGACTAAGGAAAAGATAAAAAGATAAAGGGTCCCCTTGATGGAGATCTCTATCTGGATAAAAAAAAAAAAAGCCACATTGGTTGGAATTCAAAATCAGTAAATATGAAATTGAAGTGACACACTGCATTGTTAGGGATATCTATTTACTGTCAAAAACCAATTTTTCCATAGTTTTCTCAAGGAAAATCCACTCTATCCTATCGTAAGCATTGCTCATGTCTAATTTTAAAGAAATATAATCATTTTTCCCTAGAGTTTTGCATTTAAGAAAATGATTAAGTTCAAAAGCAACAAAGACTTTATCTCGTATAAGACGACCCGGTAGGAAAGCATACTAATAAAGGAAATTGGATATTGGATAAAGAAAAATACTTTGCAATCCAAATAGAACTCAAATAGAACCCAAAATTTTTAGGGTTAATTGCTTTTTACCTCCTTGTGGATTTGGCTAGAAGCCTACTTGACTTAAAATTATATATATTACTCCATTGTACTTTATGTACCAAAGTGAAATTATTATTTTTATTATCAAAGTTAACAGTGAGTGTGTTTCACACATCCAAAATATGTTGTGGACTTTGTTTCCATTGTTTTCTTTCAAAAGAACATAATCTAAGTGCCTAAAATACCTTTTATAATATATAGTATAATACCCAAATAGGTAGGACATCGATCCTAGATAAAAAAATATGTAAAAAAAACATAAGTGATTTTTGACCCTGAATCAAAATCTCACTTGAGGTGGGGGGGGAAAGACTCAACATATTTGATTAAAATGTGTTAGTTTATTGTCATGTTTCATTTATAGTCAAAAATAAAACAAACGAAAAAGTCTTGATTTTTAAAAAGTGGATATTATGATAGTTTTTTAATTCCGTTAATGATATACATAACTATAAAGAATAATATGTATAATTTTAAAGTCAAATAAGATGCTTCTAGTCGAATTCACAAAAATAAAAAATAATTAATTTAAAATTATAATTTAAATATATATCATACTTTAAATCAGTGTTAAATTAGTGAGTTCCATCACTCCTGTTACGGAGTTGAATTAGTTTTATTTGGGTCCTGCAGCCTTACTCGTTCGAACTCAAAGACGCTGATTTAGACTTTTAGAGCTCGTCCCTGAGTTGCCCTTCGTTGTCTTCTTTTGCTCTGCGCAACCGCGACACTCCATCTACATCTCTTTCCCCTGGTTTAACACAAAAGACTTGCACCCTCTCTGTGTCTCTCTCCAATAAACAGACACATATTGACATATACATATAGTCCAAAAACCCTAAATCAAGCAGAGCATATAGATATAAATCTGTATATATCTATCCATGGATGACGGCGAGGGTGGTCTGAGCTTCGACTTCGAGGGAAACCTTGACGCGGGACCCACTCACCCCACCGCCTCCGTCCCGGTAATCCAGTCTGATAGTTCATCCACCGCGGTGGCTGCCGTCGTTAATAACTTTGCCACTCCGGCGGCCACAGAGCATGCGGCAGGACCCAACCGGCGGAGCTACCGGCAGACCGTGTGCCGGCACTGGCTTCGCAGCCTATGCATGAAAGGGGACGCCTGTGGCTTCCTCCACCAGTACGACAAGTCTCGAATGCCTATTTGCCGGTTTTTCCGGCTTTACGGAGAGTGTAGAGAGCAAGATTGTGTGTATAAACATACCAATGAAGATATAAAGGAGTGTAATATGTAAGTTCAGTTTTACCCTTCCTCATAGTTTTTGTTTTTTCTACATCCGTGCATATCCTTCACTTAATGTAGATTATTCTGTTTTTGATCTTAGTATGGAGGTTTGACATTGTATTGCTCTTGGGAAATTTGTAGATTGGATTCAATTTCTATTCCTTAGATCATGGGTTGTCCGGGGATTGGGAAATTGTAGAATTTTTTGTGTTTGCTCTTGTTTATGGATTATCTTGGTCTCTCTCTCTCTCTCTCTCTCTCTCTTTTTATAATGGAGAACCTATCCAAGGCAAGCCCAGGTGAGTCCCACCTGCAGCGGAAATATCGGATTCTTTTGTTTGTTTTTTCCCCAATTCATTGTGCGTGATTTTCTGTATATTCTACTTCGATTTAGGATAGTGCTCTTTATAAATTTGTTGAGTTTAGAGGATGATTGCCTATTTTGGTCCTGTTAATTGAGGCTGCTTGGGAACCTAACATGTGACATTAATTTCACGGAATGAATTTGAACCCTCAATCACACGACCATTAAGGATAATATTCATTTTGATGCAAATCGCTTTCTTTTGAAAGACAAATAACATTAAGGAGGAAGTATCAGTTGTTTGGGCATTGGACACTTATAGTGAGTTCTTTTGGGTTTGAGGAAAATTATTGGCTTTGTTTTGGTGAGTTTGATTATCCTTATCGTTGTTGTTACTGTTACATGATGGAGTTTAGTATACGAGTTATTTACTTTTTCCTACAATATATTGTACAATACTTCTTGCTTTTGTTTGTGTTGAGGTTGACATGGTGATGTAGGACAACGGTGAACCAAAAAACAGAGCACTATTTAAGGCTGTGAACAGCAGTCATGAACAGTATTTTAGAGGATAATTGTGTCAACTTGTATTTTAGGGTTAGAGAAGTTGAAAGGGAAAGGTGTCTTGTAGATTACGTTTAAGGGTACAAAGGTTAATATTTCAGATCTGATAAAAGTTGGATACATGCAAAAAATACAAGGAAAAGAAAAAGAAAAGACTAGGAATCACTCCTAGGGTTCCTTAGGTATCACACCTAGGGTTTAGTGAAAAGTTGGATACATGCAAAAAAAATACAAGAAAAAAAAAAGGAAAAGACTAGGAATCACTACTAGGGTTCCTTAGGCATCACACCTAGGGTTTAGTGAATTGCATCGCACAATCCCATAGTATATTATAATTGCTAAAAATTTCTGAAAGAAATCTCTCTATATTCTTTATTAAATATAACAATAACTACATATAGAGTTGTAAGGATTCCTAATCCTAAAAGATTAGGATTGCAAAAACTCTAGGACTGTAGACACTTTAAACTCATTATTGACTAGGAAACTGATATAGACTAAAACTATTACTCTAAACTCTGGAACAAAAGATGACCCACAGATCCCATTCCAGCAAAGTTTGAAAATTACAAAAATTCCATTGATTCAAAAACATTAAAAGGACATATGAAATACTAATGCCAGCTAAGTGACTCAAATTAATTCAAAATAAAAACTCAAATATAAAAATAGAAGGTTCTAGATGGATCTTTATCTTGATGGCAAGCCAAATTCATTGTTCTTCATATTTTTTAATTTGTGTTTTATTGAGCATCTTATGGATGGGTTTTTTATATGTTAAAATATCATGTATGGCAAAAGCTTTGGAATGGATCTAGTTGTTGTTTATGATCTCATTGGGCAAAAGTTCAAATCATATCGTGGTTTTCCATTTAAGGTAGGAAGGGTTTATCCATAGCCAAGGCTCTTTGTTTTAACATTATAGATCTTTTTTACATTTTTTTGCCAAATAGATTCTTGATAAAAACTTTAAAAGCATGTTTGTAATGGACTACAAATAGTTTGTCCCATACACCACAAATACCCCATTTGGATTGACAACCCTACCATTGTATGACTTGGTTAGAGTTGTTAGATGGTCATCTTGATTAGGAGCTCTCCCTGAAGAATTCTTAATCTGATATTGTATTTAGTATTACTAAGGAAGTGTACTTGTTTGTTGAAGTAATTTCTTATTTTGATTAAGCAACAACATATTGAGATTTTTCTCCTTCATGTGAATTGTCTACCATTTAAATAAGAAATGGTCTTGTGATTGATATCTGAAGTGTAATGTTTTAGTTTTTTTCGTTCTGTTTTTTGTGGTATAATGTGAAATAAATTCATACCACAATATATGTTCCATTTTTTGAACATTTTCTTTGTTCTTTTATAATGATACACCACTACTTTTTTCCCCAGTCTTTCTGTTCTCGTTTATCATGGTTCTATTGAGTTATATAAATGGAAGTGTCATTCACATGGTATGTTTTTTCTACTATGGTAATAAATGAAATGTTGTAAATTGGAACCTTCTTAATTAATAATTGCATTGTTGTGCTAGTAAATTAGATCAATAAGAGTGGAACCTTTTCTACAAAATATGATTACATTATGCTGTGCATGGTATAACCAAACAAATTTGATGTATGTTGCGAACTTTACATAAGAGCATTGCCAGTGTATTTTTTTTAATTAACATTTTTATTGTTGTAGGTATAAGTTGGGGTTTTGTCCAAATGGTCCCGACTGTCGGTACAGGCATGTAAAGCTGCCTGGGCCTCCACCTCCTATGGAAGAAGTTCTGCAAAAGATTCAGCAGCTGACTTCCTACAGTTATGGAAACTCAAATAGGTTCTTCCAAAACCGGAATGCAAATTATCCTCAACAAACAGATAGATCTCAGTTTGCACAAGGTGCCAATGGTGTCAATCAAGTTGTAAAACCTACAACAACAGAGTCCCCTAATGTGCAGCAGCAGCAGCAGCAACAAGAAGTTCAACAGTCCCAACAACAGGTTAGCCAGGTCCATGTACAAAATCTTTCCAGTGGCCAGCAAAATCAAACCAATAGAACTGCGACACCCCTGCCTCAAGGAATATCTAGGTGTGTTCAGAGTTCAAAGGTTTTCATTTAGGTCATGTATATCATCACTTCTTGTACTCAAATGTGGACACCGTTTGAGAGGAGTATCCAAATATGTCAGTTGTAATTGGTTTCTTAAGAGCCCACATCAGTAACCGTACTGGTCTTTACACGTTAACATTTAATCCTATATCTTTGTTTTGCCAATTGATGCATAAATTTTCTTTTCTTCATGTGATTGCTCTCTTTTCTTGTTTCTCATCATATGGGGTAGCACCTTTGTCCTCTGCTTTTGTTTTGGTAATCCTTTGAAGAACATGTTCAAATTTGTGGACAATGAACTGCATCATAGCTAATTGTATGTGGAAGAGGAGGATATGGACAAACATAAACTTATATAAAGATTTATTGAAATGCATACTCTTTCTTTTTCTATTAGATCGATAGATTTCCTGCATTTCTTTGATTCCTTGAACATTTCTTATTCTGTTGAGATTGCAAAATTGGCAGAATTTGCACTGTTTAGCTGAATTATGTTTGTTTCTGAGATCCAAAATGCAAACTAGTGAGAGGTAGTCTGAGGATTTGAAGCTGCATCTAGCAAGGGTTAAGAAAAATGTCTTTGGTGCAGCCCTAGAGGCTTACCTCCTCTCAGTTAATGTTCAAACTTTGGAGGCAGAGATGAGTGTATGTTCATAACCCAGCAATCTTTGTCGCTCATAGGTGTTGTGCAATTTTGTCACCCACCATGTGAAAATTAACTCGTACTTTGTTTTGCATAAACTCTGACTAGCATAAACTGATGTTTCTCGCATCCTCTTGTTATGTTTCCACATTTAATTTTCCCAAAGCACTCTTTTCCTTTTGAGTTTCAAGTTTTGAAAAAGTTTCATCATCTAGTGTTGCACATGTATGTATTCCAATTTTTGGAGGTGTCAGTCAATCCCTTCTTCATTTAAAAAAAAAAATGTTAGCCAGGATAAAATGTTCGCTATTGATAGTGTAGTTATTAGGAATTGCTGGATTTCATAGAGATGTCGAGAGGACAGAGACAGCTAATTGTCTAAATATTCATTTTCCGGTGGTGATGGAACTTAAGTACTTTTTCTTGATCTTAAACTTGAGTACTTCAGTGCTTCCATTCATGGTTGTGATAGGTTGCTTTTAAGTCTAATTGCATATTTCGAAAGGATGGTAGTCTCTAATAAGGCAGTTAACCGTGTTTTACTAGGTGTTTTTATTTTTGGCATATTTCAAAAAGCGCAACCCATAAATATTTGAAAATTTTGATACCCATTATCTTATAGTTTAGAGTGGTGGTCATTATGACCATGTCTTGTTGAGTAGGAAATTCAAGGAAGGTAAGCACTGTCTCTGTTTTCAGACTTTTCATTTTTCTATTTTGCAGTGGTAACAGGGTACTTATCAGGTTGTGGTCCTTTTTTTAATTTTTTTACATTGGCTTTGTTCCTTAAATTTGCTTTATATTAAAGTGAGGCATTGTTGAGGTAATGAATCCGATTGAATGTGGAACAAAATTGGGAGTCTAGAACTTGTTTGGGATTGGTTTTTTTTTTTTGGGGGGGGGGGGGGGGAATACCTTGAAACAACAAAGCGGTTGAAGAAAAAGCTGGTCGTTTTTTAAAAGCATTTAATGGGGGGAGATATCCTTTGGTTGTGGAGCCTTCAACATCTCTGTCGTACAGGGTATGATTCCATTTAATGTATGAATAATTGCATGCTATTGACATGTTGGGGGCTTTGGCATTAAGGATGATAATAAAATTCATTTGTGACGAGCTTCAAGCAACCTTGCCAAAGATGGTAATCATTGTCACTTTGTAGAGATGCTAGTAGGCTGTTGTCTTCTGTAGGCTGGTAGAGGAGTGGCTTGGGAAAATTCTGAAGTTAGATGGTAATCATTGTCACTTTGTAGGATTGTCTTACCAGTAAAAAGTAGAAGACAATGGGAGATATCTCACTCCCTAGAATGAAAAGAGTTGCATTCTGACCTAATAAGATGAGATGCCTCAGGAGTTGGTCCTTGATTGGATTAGGAGACCATAAAAATATATTGGAATTATTATGAGGTTGTTTTGCAGCTAAGTAGTTGAGAGCAAAGTACCACACTGGGTGAAAAGAAGTAGCAGCCTTCAAAAGAGGTTACCTTAACACTAAGCAATTCCTCCTTGTAAACTTAAAACTACCAAGTATGCCCAGTGATAAACGTCCATCAACCCAATTTTTTAGCTTAATCTAGTAATATTTTCTTGATCATATTACTGTAAACTAAGACCTATCGTCATCTTGAGCAGAATTTTGGTGGGGTGCTCATGGCGTATTAGTGCCATTTAGGTTTACAGATGGTTCAACCATGGTTTAAAGGATTGGCCGATACCAATGCATTTCAGCACCTTTCACTCATGTTCCGTGTAAAACATGAGTTTCACGCGATTTTGCTAAGTTTTTTAAAACTTACCTGAGGCAACCCTGAGTCATCCGAATAATTGTAATCAAATTGACTGAAATCATTTTGTGATGCTACAATATGACCTATATCTCTCCTCATATTCGGTATCTTCTTCTACTTAGCATTTTATTCATATTTGCGATAGTGTTTTTCAAGTTGATGATCAATGCTGCGACTTTGAAGCATGGATTCAAGAATGGATTTGTGTTTTTTATCAATATTCACTAGGAAATTGGACATTTTCTGATGCTTGTAGGGATCAGTAATTGGATTTGCCTTTAACTTTTTTTTTTTTTTTTTTTCTGGATTTGCCTTTAACTTTTAATTGATCTTCGAGATAAAAATTTACCATCATAGGCATTATGACTTTATATAGCATATTTTTTTGGGGTTAGAGGTACTTGAATAAATCTCTTGTTTTATCTCATATTTGCTAGAAATTTGAAATTGTTTGTGATGCTTTTGTGATCGGACGAGTTTAGCTAGATGTGCTTTCAATTCCTAAGTTAGTTTTGAGACTCAGGATTGGCAATTGAGCTTCAATTGACATGTTTTGTCAAGGAATTGGAAATGATGTCCTTTGTATTTTTTCTATTCTCTTTTCACAAAATGTGTAATTTTAATATGTTTGGGTTTCTTTGGTTGAGAAGATCAAAGCATAGATATATTTGGGGAATGAAAGCTTCTCATCAAGGACTAATTTTGTTAGTTTAACACGATTATCTGGTTTTCCAAGGTGTATCTATCCTTTTTCAGGCTCTATTTTCTTTGTCTCAAAGGTTGAAGAAGATAGTTACACACATTTTGTTGTAAGATTTAGAAAAGTATTTGGTGTCTTCATCAATTTGCACCAGTGGAATGAATTCCTTTGGGGAAGTAATATGAAGATGATATTGATTAATATGGTTATTCATTTATTTATTATTTTGAGGGTGGTCACAGTGGTAAAGTTGCGCCCTTATAGGCTGGGCATCAAATGTTCAAGTCGTAGAAACAACCTCTTCAGACCATGCTGTGGTGAGAGTCTTGTTGTTCCCTTGGCAGTCTTTTATATTGATTTACTATTTTATTCTTATTACCTTTAGCTTAGGGTTATTCTGTCTATTCATGACTTGGATTCTAGAGGTTTAATGAAGCAAGACATCACATGAATGGAGAATAGTGCTGAGTATTTTTATGTAGTGGCTAATAGGAAAATCGTGAAAAGGGTTGTAGGGTTTTGATTTAAAGGCGAGTGCTTCCTCAAGAATTTGGATTGTACTAAAGGCTATGTAGGATTTTGTAGAGGACTTAGAATTAATTGAAATGAGTGATTTATAAATAGAAGTTTTGTGCTTTATGTTAGATCAATTTAGTAGAGTTCACATTTGGGTGAAATAGAATGGAAAGAATAGTCATGGGATGAAATAGAACCAACAAAAAATAAGATTTTTGCCTCTCCTCCAAAAAAGTTTTGAGAGTTGTAAAATTTTTCTGAAAGTTTTGAACTTTCTGTATGCTTCTTTTCTTTGAATTATACATGATTTTGTTCGTTAGGCTATGCTAAATCTAAATGAACTCATACACTAACACCCAATAACATGTACCTAGGAATTAAAACCCCCCCTTTTACTGCCGCCAAAAACTAAAAAAACTTGACATTGTCTATGCTTGACATAATAAATGTAAGAAAACAATAAAACTCAAGTAGCAATCTGGCTTAGAATGAACATGAAATAAGGCTTCTCTCAACCCAAAAGTTGATTATTTGCCCATCAAGCGTCCAAAGAATTTCTAATTTGTCATTTTCTTATGGGTTAATTGCAAATTGCACCTGGAAAGATTGTTTAAATCTCAATTTGTACCCTTAAAGATAAAAAATTTTAATTTTCACCCTTAAAGATAGAGATCTATATCAATACGCATTTGAAGCTAACCTTTGTTAGTTTGCAATTTAAAACTAAATGGATAAATTACACCTAAATCCCTCGTGCTTGTTACTTAATCACTTAGACCCGTCACATTTGAAATATTATACTTATAGCCCTTTAGAATCTAAATATGACTAAAAATGTTTTCTCAATTGGGCATCTAAATAATTTTGCTCAAGTGATATATTGCATTGGATATAAAAAATATTATATAAATACCTGCATTATATTGAGCATTCAAATGGTAAACTTGATTTTGAACTTTAAAGTATAACGGACCCACAAAATAAAAGGTAGTGTGAAAATTATAATTTTTTATTAGGATGGAATCATTTTTTTTAACGGTTATATTAACAGATATCAACGATAAGAGGTTATGTGTTATACATGCACATACGTCAGGCGGTGTAAGAATAATATTCTAAATATGAGAGAGTTTAAATGATTAAGTGACAAACTTGAGGGGGCTTAGGTGTAATTTATCCAACTAATTTTAGACGGCAAATTGACGGTTATTAGTTTCAGGTGCGCATTGATACAAATTTATATTTTTGAGGTTGCAAATTGATATTTTTAATCTTTGAGGGTGTAAATTGAGATTCAAACGATCTTTTAGAGTGCAATTTGCGATTAACTCTTTTCTTATTAATATTCTTTGTATCATTCCATGGGTTTGGTAAACTGGGTCTCAATTTTATGTTTTACCATATAGACTATTAGATTCTACCAGTACTAGAGCTCATTGCCTAATGCAATTTTTAGTAGGTATAGAAGACAAAAACAATATTAAAGAAGTTGAACTATCAAT